TATTATTAAACCAAATATAAATTATTTTGTTATTAAACCTAAATTAAATTATAATAAAAAATTTGAATTAAAAAACTTATACCAAAGAAATGAGAACTATTAAATAGTTAATATGATACTAATATCGATTTATTTATTTTCAAAATTTTATGTTATCTTCAAATTTATATTTCATTTAAAAATAAAAACATCATCGATTTCTCAAAACCATATAAAATCGTATTATATTAATTGAGATAAAGAATAAAAAATAAATCTACAATTAAGTGCGATAACATTCCACATAATTGCTAACTTGTATTATATGTTATTTTTAATGTATTAAGTACTACTACTTTATACATTTAGTTTTACAAATCTTAATTTACAATTAAAATAACATATAGTGCAAGTTACCAATGCACATTATTATCTTTTCTTTTCATGTTCTCAAGATATTTTTGACACATTTCACTATGTCTTCACTCTCTCATACCTCTATGTCTTCTCCTCATCCCCTAATGTGAAATTCAAACTGATATTCACTATGATTTATTAAAGTTCTCTCATTCATCTCTCATTCAATTGCTCTAGAACTCTCGGTCTCGCTCTCGATTTCTTGACTTTTTGCTCTTGGTGTAAATCAAGCACATTTGTAGAGTCATTTAAATATGTTAGATTTTAAATATATTTGATTTTTAAACCGTTATACAATTTTTTTCATCGATGGACTGTAATTGGAACCATAACTTTTATTTATTCAAATTGTATTAATATGTAAAGACCAAATGTAACTTATATCATCGTTAAATCTTCTCTAATAAAACCAAGTGTAACTTATATCATCGTTAAATCTTCTCTAATAAAACCAGTGAAACTTCAAAATCGTTAAAATTCACGGCTCCCGCCGCATTGCGCGGGTACACAACTAGTTGTATTGTGATGCAACGCTATTTTTTTCGTTCCTGTGACAACCTATTCCAACGTCGTTAGGGATTGGATGATTTCACAGTTTAGGGAACGTAAAAAAAGTACAATATGTCTAAATTCAATATTTTTTAACATAAAAACATAACTAATTCAAGACTCTTACAAAATCTATCATTAAAGTTTCAAAATAAATGTCTATAATAAAAATACGTTATTATTATATTTTTAATTAATTAAATGCCATTTCTATCCTGAATAACTAAAAGAGATTTCTTCAATCTCATAACTAAAGACTAGAAAGGTACTTGCGTAATGTAGCGAGATACATCTTGATTTTAGTATTTCATTTTTTTTTATCTCAATCGATGTTATAATATGGTCTTATGTGATTTTGAAAAAAGCGACGATGTTTTTATTTTTGAATAAAATATAAATTTGAAGATATCATAAAAATTTGACAAAATTATATCGATATTAGTATCAAATTAACTATTTAAAATTCCTCATTTTTTGTGTAATTTTTTAATTATAATTTAATTTAAGTTCAATAACAAAGTAATT